TGTGGAAATGTTCATATTTGGAAAGGGTATATACTTTTTCACTATCAGGTAATTTCATATATGTTCTTTTTACCGGGTTTAAAGATTCAGAAAATTGTCATGTATTTTCGTGAAATTTTTTTAATTTATGAGAAAAATGCAGTGTACATGGATATGGTGAAGAGTGTGCGCAATGGCATTTTTGTGCAATTCTGGGATTTTTTTTTTAAGTAAAAATAAGTCGACGTGTACATGGTTTAGTGATATTTTAATTAAATGATAGTTATTTTGTGAATTTTATGTTTGTAGGAATTTGGTATACGTTATAGTTGAAGTAAACGTGCATGGAAATAATTTAAATATTTGACACTAAGTATTTGTAATGCTTGCGGTATGAATTCGTTGGTGACGTTTATAATATAATAGATGATTTAGAGGTAAAAGTTTTGGGATATTTTATTTATTTTATATGTGGAAATGTTCATATTTGGAAAGGGTATATACTTTTTCACTATCAGGTAATTTCATATATGTTCTTTTTACCGGGTTTAAAGATTGAGAAAATTGTCATGTATTTTCGTGAAATTTTTTTAATTTATGAGAAAAAAGCAGTGTACATGGATATAGTGAAGAGTGTGTGCAATGCCATTTTTGTGTAATTCTGGGATGTTTTTTTAAGTAAAAATAAGTCGACGTGTACATGGTTTATGTGTATGTGTTATTTTGAAAAATGTGTAAGCAGTATGGTATTGTGCACTTTTTCCCAATTTTGCAGTGAATATTTGTCATAATTAAGCAGTTTTGTTAGATAAAATTTCTAGCATAAGTGTAATTCGGCTAGTATATTGTTGGAAGAAGTGTTCAGTAGATAAAAAGAAAAGAAACATGTCTTTACTTTGTGAAGACAAAATGACAGCGAGAAAAAAAAATAGAGGGTTGCTGTAGGAGAGTTGGTCGCCAAATTTTCACCAAAAAATCGCCAAGTTACCATAATTGAAAGATCAACCCAGACTTTTATCAACTTTGGCACTATTACCAAAGCCACCTATTTTAACTGACGGACTAGACATTAATACATGGCCATACCATAATACAGCTGTTCCATTCAACAACAATATCAAGTTGATATTGACAAAATTCAAGAGAAGTTCACCATGCATAAATAAAATGAATTACTATTAAGAAACTGATTCTAGATCTTTCAGACAAATTTTGATAACATAATCAAGTCATGTAAAAAGTTAAAAAGAAAGGATGAGGTAACTACTTGTGTTATCATTCAATTACTATGCCTGATGATGCCACTACTTCAATCAGATCAGTTTTTGATTCCTCATGCAAAGTTAGATGAGCACCATCCCTAAATGACTGTCTCTTCAAAGGACCTAACTGAATAGAAGATATTCCAGCTTTATTATTGAGATTTCAAGTATCGCTGTTGTATCTGATATTAGAGGAGCTTTTCTCCAAATTGAAGTTAAAAAAGAATTATATTTATTATATAAAATATTTTTGAAATATTTAAGGAGGGAGAAGAGAAATGAAATTTAAAGTTTATAAGCTTAAAAGAATGGTGTTTGGAGACACTTATAGCTCACTTTTACTCAGCGTGATCATAATGTACCAATGAACTCTGTAGAAGAAAAACATTGTAATTTGAGATTAGAACTTTGTTTTCTAGGGATGAAGGGGATAGAAAAGAGGATTATTTAATGACCTGCAATAAACTAAACACAGAAATAGAAAATTTTACTAAATGACAGATCATATCTATCAGAGAAATATGCAAACCCATGGAGTCATACCAATCATATCTTGCTCCAGGTAATCTAAATCTGGTAGATCTGTCACACTGCAGTTATAGCCTTAAACATCTCACTGAAACGAGATGGTGGGAAGAACCAATATGGTCTAAGGAAGAAGCAGATTTTGGTCCCATCCAGAACAGGTTCTTAATTATGATTTATTTATGTCAGAAAGAAAGAATATGAATTATGAAAAATTTCAAAATTTTGTAGATTATTAAATATTATTTGTTGGATAAAAAAGATTTATATCAAAATGTAGAAAGAAATAGTATTTACCATCCAAATTTTCTGTTCTGTTTTTTCCATCCAAATTGAAGAAAAGAAAGATGCAAAGATTTTTTTTTTTTTTGGGGGGGGGTCAAGAATTCAGTTAAAAAGTTTTGATGGTATCTCAGGCACTGTCAAAGAGCTCATTGGTTATGAAACATCAAAATAACATCATATGAGTCAAAATAAAGTTGTTAGAATGTGATGATGAATTTTCCTTCAAATACACGATTTTATTGCTATCAAAACATCATATAGCAAAATTCTTAATTCAAAACTGTCATGCTGCTGGTTTCATCTTGGGAGAAAATTATTGGCCTATTTCTGCTAAGTGGCTCATTTGCAGTAAAAAAAAAATTCTACTCAGAACACTTGGTAGATCATCTTGAAGACCTATCAACAATATCATGTGAAGCTGAAATGAGAATGAACAAGCGACCTCTTATGTATACTGCTGAAGAGTACGGTAAATTTATTCCTTTGACTCCTTCATCTTTTATTCAAGATATCCAAGAAATCGGGATAACCTGACCTAGAGAAAATTAATTTCCAGAAACTTCAAAAATGATATTGAAAATGCAAAATATTAAAGATCAATTAAGAAACTGATTCCAAAAAGAATATTTGGCAATTCTTATTAAAAAATCCATCCCTTCCACCCCCCCCCCAAAATGTAACGGCTTAAGTTATCCAGATGGTTGGTGTAGTACTTACTAAGAGAGACTTAACTGGCCTAATACACAGTCATTAAAATTTATAAAAATGTTATATCACAAATAATAAAAATGTTGCATACAATTGACAATCCAATTAGATTATTTCATTACTTAGGTACCCAACACTTTTATTATTTGTAATATAAAACTGTAGATAAATTATGTAAATAACTATATGATAAATTATTTTTCTTTTAATACATTAATTATCATACCCATTTTAAATAACAGTTTATTGTATAAAAACCATTTTTTATTATTTTAATTTCTGTTAGTTTCTGTTCTGCCAATGATGAAATTTTTAGACATAATTAAAAAGCAAACAGTTAATTATAAAAAAAATTATGACAAAGAAAAATAAGTGAGCATCATTCACAGATTGAATAGGATTCACAGAAACTGGATGTAATAACAAGGCTATAACAACCATTTTACTTGAAGAAAAAAAAAATGAATATAGCTAAATCTGTCATTAGGTGTGCCATGATGACAAACTCAAAAGCAGTGTTTCCACAAGAAAACGTTTTTTTCCTATCTGCTTCAGACTGGAACACATTTTTTAAAAAAAAGGACAGAAAGCCACTCAATTATTATTATTATTATTATTATTATTATTATTATTATTATGATTCTTCTTTTAAAAGAGGGCAAAAAGTTTGCTTTACAGTCTCCAAAAATATAAAAATTTTATATCAGATACATTTTTAGATGCTGAAATTTTAAAATCATAAAGGTCAAATAATTGAAAAAATATAAATAATTTTCAAAATTCACCAAAAATTCAGAAATAAAATTACTATTTTGCAACAAGTTCCACTGAACAGATTTTTTTCTGTTACATTTGATGGTGTAAACACTTTTAATATTGTTACAAAATGTCTATGTGCGGTAAGATGGCTTCCTCGCAAAGCAGTTTTAGGGTTGCCATAAAATTGCAAGGGATGGCAGGGTTGCCACATTCGACAAGAAATCGCAAATTTGGCGATAAAATTGCCGATGTGCTATGAACGGATGGAAAACCTTCTGGCATGAATTCTTACCGGTTTAGCCCAGAATGTTCTCGAACACAAGCCAGAAGCTATATAAACCCTGCTGGTATGCAGCGAGTTAGTATTGAGTCACTAAGTCAGTCAGTCCGTGTGGACAGTCATTCAGTGAGTGCCAAGTTGGTCGTCGAGTGCACCAAAAGAGTCTCTTAGTGTATCGTGGTTAGTGTATCATTGAGAGAGTTGTTGAGCTCCAGGAACGACTGAATCGAGGGTCAGGAGCTGTACTCTAGGATATCGTCGAATGCATTGCAAGTTGTAACGTGGACAGTCTTGAGAGTACTTGGAGTTCCGAGAACAACCGAGCAGAGTTGGGAGCTGTACTCTGGGGCTTTGCAGTAAAGCTGTCTTCCCCGTGATAGCCTGATAGTCAGAAGGTTGTGCTGCTGATTGTTCCAGAATGTTTATAGTAGATCTTCGACGACTGTAAACATGTTTTGCAGCTGTCCTGAGAATACTGGCCAGTAAAGTGTGTTTTGGTACTTCATCAAGTGTCGTCGTTGTTTTTCAATCCAAATCCTTACGAACCCCTTAAGTAACAAACGTACTAAAGGAAAGAAAATAATGTAACAATATGTTTAATTTTTCCCTTAAACAAAGATATGGGCGTAAAACTGCTTAAGCATCAAATAAAAAATTCAAATCATATTTTAAAAAAAAAATCCCTTCACCACATTGCATTCCCATTGACCAACAGTGTATGCACACAATATGAACTTGTTAGCTTAAGACGAAATAGATTAAAAATTGATGACGAAATTCCAAGCACATAGAAGCACCACAACTGAACTAAATAAAAGCTCATAAAAAGATGTTTTAGCATCTATCTGATCTTCTGAAATATAAAGTTATAATTATTAAAATTAGTCAAAAAAAACATTAAAAACAATAAAGGAAGAAAAAAAGTCACTCAAGGTAGGTGGGTAGAGAAGGTAATTTGATAAAATGCAAAATTTAATTTAGTTCTGGAGTTGATTTCAACAGCAACATAAAAAAGCTCAAAAATATTAAAACAAAAGTTAATTGGTGCAATGAAGAAAGAGTTCCCTTGAAATGTGTTATGTCACAATTTTCACTCAGATTAAAGCAAAAACAGGTTTGAATTTTGCAGTTTATCACAGTTACATTATGATACATCACTACTATTTATTATCAGAAAGCATTTTTTAACAAAAGCATCATACCTTGTCCAGCAGAATTAAATTCTGAAGAATGATCTTCTAAATTATTCAAAGCTTCTTTACTTTCTAGGACTTCATTTTCATTTGTTAAGTTTTTATTGGCAGATTCACCTTGACTAGTATCTTTACTTGAGGCATCCTTTGGTAAAAGTTCATTCTCTGCAGCTAGCAAAGCATCTGTCTCACTGCGTGGCATACCAAACCTTAATTCTGCATCCTCATGAGCCTTCAGCAAGCGCGACTTCAAAATAGCGCATAACTGTTGACACAAATTACGAGGTTCACTACCATTACCAGATGTAGGGCTGACTGGTGATAAAAGTGGTTTACGATTAGTCATGTCTTCATTACAGTTCACAGAATTGATAGTAGGCAAAGGAGCATCACATGGAGATTCTATGAATATATCAATCTCAACCTTTGGAGAATCTGATACATTATTAATTTTGTCAAAGTCGGAAATAACTTCATCTTTTGATTGAGATTCATTCACATCAGATGTGGGATCATTAGAAGAAAACAAGCGAAATATTTGATCTGCCATATGTTGAATGCTATTAACACGGCCACGGTGTTTTAATCTTTCAACAAGAGATTGCAAATGCCGTTCATGAAAATATGTGGTTCCTAGAAGCTGGTCAAGGACCCTAGAAATATTTAAATATCAATAATTTCTTTAAGAAAAATAACAATACACATAAAGTTTATTTTTGCAATAAAAATAAAAATTACATATTATTTGATACATAAATTATTATTCAGTAAAAATTATTATGTTACTCAGTGTAACTCAATAGCTCAATGTTATTTTACAAAATTTTACACTTCAGTAGTTTATAATTTAAGCCATGTAATAAACTATCAAATCCCTAAATAATTTTTTGTACATTATTAAAATAAACACTTTCAAAAAATATTCAATGTTAAATATATATTACTAAAATGTAAATGAATTGTATGCATTTTATCACAGAAAAACTTTACAGTTAAAATTCCAACAAATGTTCCCAATGAATGTAACTGGAAAACGTCTACTTCATATCATGGTTACAACATGCAGACTAAACATTTTTATACTTACTTGCAATGCTTATAAAGTTCCAAAAGCCTCCTCATAACATTGCACGTCTGAAGAGTAGGATTTTGTGTAAATACTTCTTCTAATCGAGCCATACCAGCTCGCAGTTTTTCAATATTTGCTAATAACTTTTCATGCATATCTTCTGTTGATTTTTCATCATCTTTTTCCTCTAATTTGAAGGAAACTTTTTCAAGATCTCTAGCAGTTCCATCAACATCTTTTTCAGTGGTACTATATAAAAAATAGCATATTAATGTTAAGAAATTGAAAACAAAAACTTCTTTCTTAACATATTAAATTCCATTCTCAAAGATCCTAAAAATTTTTAAAGACAAAAATACAAGATGTCAAGGATATATGAAACTGTCGATATAGATAATGGCTTTAGAAGTAGGAGATTATAAAGCTTACTTGTAAAATTTTATCAATAACAGGACATGGACATGACAAGTAAGGTTGAAGATATTTTAAAATTGTGATGCAAACTTAGGTATATAATGCTAATTTTTTAAAGCAATGTTAGGACAAATAATACCAATTTAAGGAGAAAAAAAGCTATCTCACTTCCAATCAGAAATAAGGAAAAATGAATTATGAAGTTGCCCATAACCCCCCCCCAAAAAAACATATTGTAAACAGTTCAGTCCAACAATGACAAACAAAAAAAAAGTCTTGAAAATCACTGTACAGGAATTAATTTATTATACAAAATACACAAACATTAAGACACTGCCACACAGTAAAAATGCCTTAACAGCACACAAAAAATAACCTTTTCGTATTTGGCAATAATGCATTTATTTTTCCAAAACCTTTAAATTTGCATTCTTACATACAGCTGTTCTTAATTCAAGATCTAACACACTTAACACTGTACATTTTTTCACCTGTGACTTAAACTCACAAAGTGACAAAACTACTGAGCTCTTTATAAGGTTCTAGCCAATACTGGAAAAATTTCTCTAACTACTGTCTTATCACACATTTTATATTAAATACATTAATATTGCAATCTTTACGTTACTACAGATTTTCATCATTACTTTTAGATTTTCTTTTTAAAGTTCATTGTGTTCACCAGAAGTAGAGTACAAAATGCATAATTGCATAGCTATAGAAAGGTTTCTGTTTCATATAAATGCTACGCTACACTTTGCCTTGCCAAATGGCAACAACTTCCTCTTTTGCCAGGATGTAAACATTTACTTTTTTGTTAAAAACAATAACACCTTAACCTCAAACACTACAAAATATAAATTTTTTCATACATCAACTAAATGCCTTTTAGAAATGCCCATATTATTTTAATAAAATAAGATTAAAAATTCCACACTCTCTGTATGGCAAATTATATATCTAACCACAGAGTGATAATTACAATACTCCATTCAGGAAAACTGTTTAGTCTCAAGTAGTGAAGAATTATCTCCCCATTACTTCCCAAGGGAGATTGGGCACGGGGAATTTTGCACGCTTAGGGGGAATTGCTCAGTTTCAGACTGATAGATTATATGAAAAATTTTGCAGAAAAGATCAGCTAAAGTGTATTTAAAATCATGACTTATAAAAGCTGAAAATGTTAGATCTAGGTACCATGTATGGAAAACAAAATCAGAAGAAACATTTCTTAGTTATTATATATAATATGAAAATTTATATTTTGGTGCATCTCCAAACTCGCACAGATCTCAAACTGCAGATGAACAGGAAGTTTTCAAATGGTACTATGATAAATCAGAGTTCATAGCCACAATTTAGTTAAAAAAATAAGCACCTATAAGCACTTTTCAAGCACATTTTAAGAAAAAAAAAATAAGCACCTTCTAATTACATTATACACAACTGCATAACCTTAAAAATTAGACTCGTAATTTAAAATATGAGAAATGCAATATTTATTAAGAGAGAATAAGCATTACCTCAACCATGGAAAATAATTACTTTTTTTTAATTTGAAATAACAGTTCAATTTACAGAACTAGTTTACAATGAGAGGAAAAAAAACTATGCAGAACTAAACTATATTACAAGATTTAATGATGAAATTTCAGTTCAAAATAGAGGAAATAAATAATAATAAGGCATATTTATTCTATTTGCTTGGAACTTAATTTCTGGAGATTAGGGAGAATCCTTGAGTTATTTCCTGGAAGAGATGGCAAGGTGAGAGCTTGCAAGGTAAAAACAGAGTCATCGGTTATCAGACATCCTGTACAACTTTTGTACAATTTAGAACTTCAGAACTAAAGTGTTAATCTTCAGTGTTTAATTTGCAAATATGTATTGTGAGTATACCTTTTTATGGCTGCTTATTATTTTTTTAATTATTCTGTTAAAATTTGTAATTCTAGTAACTTCCATGCACAAATTTAATAATTTAAAATGGACTTAAGTTCACAGAGTCATGGTAGGCTCTTTTAGAGGGCCATTGAATAATCTTCTAAAAAGGTGAATATTTCTTTTTTGAATTTGATAATGTTATATTTAAATTGCTTAATGTTTTATTTGAATTTTCAGTTATTTAGATGATATATATTTTTTTCTTGTGCCTAGAACTTGAATGTTTTTTGTAGTATGAATGTATACTGTTTATATACAAGTTTGATGAACCTCCTGTGGTTCATTTGGGGGGGGGCAAGTTGTTAAAAATAATATGATCATATGATCAGACGGCGTGATTAATAGTTGTCTGAATTCTTTTCGCAAGAGCCTTGCAACTAATGTTTTATGAAAAGAAGACTTTGGAATTTGAGTGCAACATATTTCTTGCTTACTAGGCTAGTTTTTTATTTCCTGTTCTCGGATTAATTGTGCATTATTGTTAATCTCAGATTAATTACGTTTTGATTATCAGTAAAATATGCTTTTTTGTATGCAATGTAAATAAAATTAATAAAAATCTAAAAAACATGGTCTTCATTCAAGAATCTCGTTCAATTTTGTAGTGATTTTTTTTTTTCCCCCCAAATTGCAACACTGCATCACTCTTTTCATAGCAAGTCACATTTTTATTGATTCCCAATATTTGAAGAAGGTCTCATCATGCATTTCTTCTTCACTATCCTTGTCTTCTACAGGGTTCATAGCCACATTTTAGTTAAAAAAATAAGCATCTCTGAGCACTTTTCAAGCACATTTTAAGAAAAAAAATAAGCACCTGTCTAATTACATTATACACAGCTGCATAACCTTAAAAGAAAAATTAGACTTGCAATTTAAAATATTAGCAATGCAATATTTATTAAGAGAATGAGCATTATCTCAACCATGGAAAACAATTAACTTTTTTTTTTTTTTTTTTTTTTTTTTTTTTAAATTTTAAATGACAGTTCAATTTACAGGATTAGTTTACAATGAGAGGAAAAAAAAACTAAGCAGAACAAGATTACAAGATTTAATGATGAAATTTCAGTTCAAAATATAGAAAATAAATAATAATAAGCCATATTAATTGTATTTGCTTGGCACCTAATAATAAATACAATTTATTTTCCCACTCATATTGATATTTAACTAATTTAAATCTAAATTCTGAACATTTTCTAAATTTTCATCGTATATCAGTTTTCCCTTAACACATATTGCAAGCAAAGTAATTTAAGTAAAAAAGAGGAACATTTCTGAAATCAGAAGACAGAAATTTGCTTCATGCAGTCATCCTTTAACAGTAAAAGCTTAACTACCCGCATACTTGAAAATTGGCGAATATTCAGACAGCCGAGCGTAACTTGAAAAAGAGGATCGGAGGGGGGGATAGACTGTAGCAGTTCTTTAGATTTTTCCGCTAAATAAATGCTTTTGACATTTCAATATGTGATTCATATAAAAACAAACCAACAGAACAGAAAAATATTCTGCTTTGCAAGCACAGTAAAACTCTTTTAAGTGTTCATAAACAAATCTCAAACCGAACATCAAAATTAATTATCTCTGTGAAATATCGCAAAAGTTATTGCACAAAACGTGCGCCGTAATTCTTCCCTACATGATATTACACAATCGGATTCAACAGCTGCAGGTATTGGGAGAATAAAGAACTAAATAAAGGAAAAGAAAGAGACTTACCAATCTGGGGTGTTTTCCATTCTAATTTTCAACAGACTGCATTAAATTTCCGGAATAGAATCATTCTTCGCTTGGGTTGGTAGACCGCAGAACTTTTAGTCCTATTCTATCCAGATTGGAAAGTGGCAAAAAAAAAAAAAAAAAAAAAAAAAAAAAAAAAACTCCGTTGCTTGTTTTGCAGCGAACTGTAACAGTTACAATATTCGAGGTTTTGCGGAGAAAGGGGAGATCCTCCCAACCTTCATACTGCATAATGTATTGGCCAAAAAAATGAAATTATTTTGACTATTTGATTACTTTCCCTTTATTTAAGCCATTCCGAATTTTATTCCTTAGAAAGCTAATCTGTGTTAAAACACAACCATTTTTGCAAGTTTACTATACTTCAGCAGTTACTACAACACTGTTATTATAAACATTCATACATATGCTCATAATATAAGCATAACGATCATAATAAACATGAATATGAACTGACCAAGCGGAACAAGAATGCAAATTATCAAGATCTTGATAGAAATTCAAACGTGTGTAGTATTTGGGTGGGAGGAAAAGAATGCCAAATGTACCGGAATTTTCTACTGCTGTCGCAATTCTTTGACCAACGTGTTCATTTAAAAAAAAAATCACTAAAAGCAAAAGATAAGCACTAAAAACAAAAAGATAAGGGCTTTAAAGAATAAGTAAGCACCTATCAGGGCCTTTATATTTTATTTTCAAATATAAGGACTTATAAGCACATATAAGGACAGCTACGAACCCTGTAAATAATAGCTCTTAAAAGCAGGATTAAACAGCTCAAGGAGACAGTGGTTAGATAAATTTTTCCATTTTTATTTGATCGTAAATGAAAGTTCAGGAATTTGTCAAAATTGTTGGTCACGAAGTCACTGCTGAACAAAATAAATTAGATATTATGCGGAGTTAAATATGCTAGACTATGAACAGAAAAGAGCTGTATGTAAAAATAAACTACGAAGAGAAAGAGAGATAAAGCAAATTCTCAACATATGTAAAATACCACAAATCACTTAAATTACCCACAGAAAGATGTTATTCTCCTGCTTTGGACTTTAAGTCTTCTGCTTTAGACTTCAAGTAGCACTGCTCAAAGTTCACAGCAAATGAATAATAATTCTTACAAACAATATAAACAGCTATAAATAGCCAAGTTCAAAAACTGATCCACAGTGAAATTTGTCTTAACACGCTGACTGCCCAACGCGAGGTAACTCGTATTAGCGCTCTGCTTCAAGATGCCCAATACGAGTTATCTCGTAGTTTCTTGTCTTGCTACTTTTGCACTGCTACGAGTTACTCGCTAAGCGCTTGCTTTAGCTGTACCAAGGCGGTAAGTCGAAGCAGGTCTGTATGAATCAACTCATAGTGAGTGGGCTTCTGTGAAGAGCTTTGTCTAACAAAAGTCGACTATAATTCGTAGAAACCTTTTTCTTAAAAAAAAAAAAAAAAACCTATAAATTTTTTAATGATTGTTACAAATCATAATTAGTATTTTTAATACTATACATGTATCTCCCTAGGATACAGAACATCTATGGAGAGATATACAGAAGTACTCGTTCAGTACTACTTTTTCTACTGGGCTGATTGACGAAAATCAAATTGCGTTTTTCACGTCTCAAAAGCGCAACTTAGGATATATATTAGATTTATATATAGCATTGTTCTAACATAGGTATTTTGACACAAAATCGGACATTTTCTGAAATAATACACCAATTTTTTTTTTTTTTTCATATATCGATTCTACGATTCAGATTATGCCTAAATATTAAATTTCGTAAAATTTATGGCGAAATTGGTGGAGAAATTCACAAATTTATCTTTGCATGTTTTTTTTCAGCTTGTGCCAAGAATAATTTACTTAACGAACTTTTTAATATATGGCAACCTATTTTCCTTTCTCTTTCACTGTGCAGGACTGGAAAAAAATTTGCATCATTCCTAGCTTTTTACATTGTGCATGAGCGGAAAAAAAGCAACATCGTTCTTCCTATCAAATAATTTTAACAAAGTTGTAAGGATCTTAAGTTTTACTAACGTTTATTTTTATTTTAAATCTTTACTATCACTTCTTATTTTCTACTTCCGGCCAGAATTAAAAGCTTTAACTTATTAGCTTTAACTTTTACTTTAACAAACTGTCTGGCGAACGCCAAGTACTTAAGTTGTGGCTTTTTGCCAAGCAAGAGAGAGAAAGGAGTTAGTCGAAGCAGGCCGCTTGCCTAAGCAGTTTTACTCGGTTGCTGGTTGCTTTCCAGGCCAGAGGTTTAATCCTCGTGATAATTTTAAACGTATTGTAGTGTTAACAGTTCTCTGTACTACATACGGCTTCCTGTTAATATACGGCCAATCTTCCACGTAGGCCCTTGTTTATTATTCCAAAGTTAAGTTAGAGTTTAGTTAAATATTTTTATATTCTTACGTTCAGACCACAAGTAGTTGGTCTCTGTATTCCGAAGTACGAAAATTATTGTAAAGAGTGAAAAATAAAGGGTTTCGTATACCCTTCCTGTGTATCTTGTCTACTTCCTCACATTTATTGAACATAGCTTTAGTAAGCTCCCTGTTCCGAGTCATGTTCTTCAATGTTCCACAAGCAAGTAAGAAGAAACACAGAACCTGATAAAGTGCCTAAACCATATTTGATGTTATTATCGCTTTCAATAAATATGCCCAATTTCAAAACGCGCCAATATATAAATTCATATATATCTTCAGAAATTTTGAATAAAAAATTGCAATTTTTTGCAGGTATGCTTAGAAATACATTTAACTTAAGATGATGGCAAAAATTTTATTGATTATAATTCAAAATTTTTTTTCGAAAAATTTATAAAAATTATTTTAAAATGCAAACTTTAAAAGTAAATTATAAAAAATGGGTGAATTTTATTTGGAATGAGACTAAATTTCGAAATGTGAAAGGAAGAATCAAATAAGTTTAATAAAAAGAGATATTAATAAATATATACTAAATTAACATTGAGGAACTATGGGAGCTAATTTTTTAAAAACTACTCGTACGATTTTTACAAAACTTTTCAGTTTGACGTAATTTGAGTGGTAGAATTGAAATATGGGGAAAAATTGCCATGTTATTTCAGAAAAGGTCCGATTTTGTGCCAAAATACCTATATTAGAACAATGCTATATATAAATCTAATACATATTATAAGTCCCGCTTTTGAGACATGAAAAACGCAAGTTCAATTTCGTTAATCGGCCCAGTAGAATGGGAGATATAGAACTGTTCCCCCCCTTTTTTTTTGCACAGTGTACACTGGGTTGAAACAATAAATAGAAAATAAAGTATTTGTAGTTTTTAAGCCAGGTGTTTTCACTTTTTTTTTTTTTTTTTTTTGGTTACTTTTTCATTTTATGCTTTTTAGCTTAGAAAACAACATTTATCATTTATTCTAATAAAAAGTCGCTAAGTTTTAAATAAGGCAAAAAAGTTGTTAAATATTTTCAACGTCATGACTTTAAATAGTTTCTTGTAAATTGTTCTTGGCAACATAATTCAATGACCTTTAGGATAAAACTGTTTATGACAGTTTCCCCTCCTATATAGTTACATCAGCAAAATCCTTTCCTGTCTGAAAATGATTAATAATAACTGAAATTTATAAGTCATATATTAACATAATGAGCAATACCACCAAGTAAAAAATGAACTCTGGTACTAAAGCAGTGAGCTGATTTTTGCTCACATGGCTCGGTATTTACTACTGTGAAAGAATTGAAGAAAATATAAACTGGAAAATTATTTAATACATAGTAAATGATCCAAAATCAGATATCAAAAGAAAACTGTACATGAATATTTGAAAAATGAACAAGTGGTAAAAAAACAATAAACTCTTAAATATAAAAACCTAATAATTTTCAAACATACTTTTCTTCAGTACCAACTAATGACTTTTCAGATTCAGTTTCCCAACTATCTTCATCAGAAAATGAATCATCATCAGCCCACAAATCATCAGAATCCTGCCAAACAAAGTATTATAAGAGAAATACTTAATAAATTAAAAAAGATATACATGTAAAATATAATAGAGCAAAAATAGCCACCCTTCCTCCTTTTGTGTGTGTGTGTGTTACAGAAATTTGCTTTTTTCTGGCCTTATTATATTTTAAAACTATGGAAGTGGTTGATAATAAAATATTAACATAATTGATATTGATAAGTAATATGCAATCAGGTATTTTCAGATGATAAATTCTTCCACTGCTTAACTTTTGTTTGTTAATTTTGCCACGATTATCAAGTAATTGCCGGAATGAGGTAAGTCTTCACTGCTAAAAACAAACAACAATTATCATTAAATAATATTCAGAACTTTTTTCTCTCTCTTTTGTTCTATTTTGGCATTCTACCAGTACAATGTAACACAATCAGTATCTGCTTAGGCAAATACTGACAATGAAGATACAAAGTTGTAATGCATTAAAATAATTTTACATGGATGGATTATTTCTGCATATGTACTTTTTAGCTTCATAATAAATATTTATAAAGTCAGAAAACTATAACTTAAAAATGTTTTCTTGTTATAGCTTCTTATTCACTACTACATATGTTTTATTCTCATGCATCAAGCATGTTAGTTTACTTACTGCTGCACATCACAGTACAGATAAAGTTCTCTATTAATATCAAGTTATTATAGTAATTATTAGAAAGGACATCCTGGCATTTCTTAGTGGAAGCAAAACATATGGCTTTACATGATGGAAGAACAACATAATTTCTTGAACTGCCCATATTTTGTTGAAGTCTTTCATAGTTCTCAGATTATGTTGAAGTCTTCCATAGTTCTCAGATTATTTCTGTATATTTATTAGATTATTTCTGTATAGAACTGTTCCCCCCCCCTTTTTTTTTTTTTTTTTTTTTTTTTTTTTTTTTTGCACAGTGTACACTGGGTTGAAACAATAAATAGAAAAGAAAGTATTTGTAGTTTTTATTTTCTTTTAAACTACCCTCAGAAGAAGATTTAAGACCATTTGCTAAGTTAGAAAACCTATGTTTATTAGTCCCTTTAAGGGATGTATTCACTACTTTTATCAATGAGTAAGCATATTAAGCTACCTACAAAGCAAGAAAAATCATGCCCACATATTAATTATCCACTGCACAAATAAGCTCATTAACACATAAAAATGACATTGTTTTCATTGAGTACAAAATCAGGAACTGAATACCTTCCCCAAAAGTTGCCTACTAGCAGCCAACCAATAAAATCGCTGAACACTGGCAGCTCCGACCTGGGTTTGATTCCAGGCGAACGGGTTGGCTGCATGGGCATTTTCGTGGTTTTTCCCATGTGCAACATGTGTACGAGCCACTTTCCCTTAGAATGTTTTCTACAAAGGCATCCCTTCCCTTAGACATATAGCACTTGTGTGCTTTGCTACAATCAAATAAGCCAAACCTTCCACCCAAGATTTAAAAAAAAAAAAAAAAAAAAAAAAAAAAAAAAACTATATTGTAGTTTGAAGCTATTTTTTTTTTCTGTTTATTTAAAGATAATATTTGAAAATAATCATTAGTTAATATTTTAAAAACTCAATAATCCTAGGACTTCCCAAAAACAAATTATTCAGGTGTACAGAATACATTGAAACTTCCCCATGATAACTCCTACAGCTCAAAACTTGTTTATTTATATTTTAACTATACTATCAAATTTTGCAGCAGCAAATTGATCACCATGCAAGTTTCAAGGTGATCAATCATGTGAACAGAACAACAGAGCAATGTGTGGCATTTTGCTATCATCTGCAATCTCCAGAACAGAATATAGAAAGAGGCATCTGCCCACAATATTTGTAATAAAGACTAGCAAACAATGTACCCGCAACTTACAATTCCATTATGGGATAAAGTGCATTTATGGCAGATGCATCTGTATCACATTACTTCACTAATATGATACAGATTACACACATGTTCAACCACTAAAAAGAAGTATTTTGAGTTAATATATGCATTGCAAGGCATATGTACAAAAAACCTAATGCCCTGCAAATCTTCATATCATGATACAGCCATTAAGGATGGAGATGACATACTCAACAAAATCGAATCTATCACTTTTGAGTAGACCTCTTAGGGATCTTTACCTGTAAATCAATTTATAGTCAGTGGCCTTTCACGGTATTTAGGGAGATAAATTGCGTTAAAAAACACCAACACCCTTAGGCAAAAAATACATACTTGTAGTCATTTAAGTCGTCATGAAGAAGCAATTAAGGCTTGATGGCAAAATGGCATAATTAGGCAAGCGATCATGGCAATTAAATCTGAAGTTGAAGATCCTAACAAGCAAATATAGCAGCAGTTGAAATCCTATAGGTGAGCAACATATAGGCAATCTTGGTAAAACAAGCATCAGCTGCAATTCACAAAATAATCGATACGTGGTAGGCATACAAAGCAAAGTGAAACAATATCAAGTCAAAGCAATTATGGCAAATAAAGGCATAATCAGAGTTCTCATAGCAATCATGGCAATCTATCAAGGCATAGTTCATTATCCAGAAGAAAAAGCAAAAGGTAAGTGATGGCATTCTTTTTCGATAAGCAAAATTCTGCATTCAAACTCGAGCGTCTTTCCTAGTCGGTGTCAGCTCCCTAACTGAAGGAGAGGCATTCTGAATAACGTTAAGAGTGCAAAGTCATGTGTGCGGCAGCGGACAATAGCATTGTTTCCTGAGGAAGCATTTCAATTGGTTACTCAACAGATGACATTGTTCCAATGCATACTGACAAAGCTTTGTATAGGAGTTGTTTAGCCTGTCAAAGCAACAAAACCCTTAAAAGGAACTGCCCAAAAATATAAGCTACAACTAAATACTATATAGCAAATTGTCATGGCTTTTATAACAGTGAAACACAAAATGACACAAACTTGCCAGTATATATATCTCAAATTCAAAAGTGTGTAACATAGAGCTTTTTAATAATAAGATGCTTCAAACCTCACAAAAATAATTATTACACAATTATATTATATTATAATATATAATTATTTTACATATAATAATTACATTTACCAATCAATGAATGCATATTCTGCATGCACACTTTTATATGTTTTCTCTAGGTATTGTGGATGATTGCAAACTGTCCCACTTTGCATCTATTGTTTTGTTCACATGCTTGCTCACCCTCAAGAGTTTCATGGCCACAGTGCTATCAGAAAGTTTGATAGCTTTCCTTGTAAGATATAGAGATCATTTTTATAGCTAAATTTTAGTACAAGATGGTAGTTGTGAAAGGTTTTACAGTATTTCCATTGGTATAAAAACATTAACATACACTCCATTGGTAAAAACATTAACATAGTTAAAAGTAACTCATTTTCTATCTCATTAAATTATCCTTTTGTTGAATTAAAATATACTAAGAATGAAACTACACACACAAAAGCAAATTTCACACTCACCAATTAATAGTAAGTAGATTTACTTAATAATCAATAGAAGTAGATTAACAGATTTGAAGTTAATTTTGTTAATGAGACATATATAATTGCAGAAATGAATGTGTTTACAATTTTTGTTCAATTTCAATAATGTAACAAATACAATTGTAAGAAATTTGAAAATAATTACAAAAATTATAAATTAAAGAAAAACATATTTTTCACATTACATCCAAATCCAAACCAGAATTGAATCCGAAATTAGAAAATATGAAATGAAAGGAAATTACACAAGCATATATTGAGGGTTACTCCTATTACAAACCTAAGAAATTATTCTTAATAACATATAGTGAAAACTGAAAAGACACCAACTTACATATTCACCAACTCGATATAGTTCTTGTGGATAACAGAGAGATGTTTCTCCACTAACCCAATATACTTCAACCTTGCCAGAAGAATGAACATCAACAACTTGGCCAGCAGTAGAACCAGGATTAGAGTCCTACAGATACAAATTCATGTTTTATTAACCAGAAAGAAAAAAACAGCAAATATTGTAATATCTAAACTATAATTAAATTAATTCTTACTTCGGAGTTCACAACACGAATGACACAAGAACCAGGTCTGTATTTAAAATCAGGATGGTCTTTGATGTCATATACACTAACTTCTTGCTCAGATAGTACTTCAGGACTAACAACAAAAAAAGACATATATATTACAAAGATAAAAAAACTTAAAAAAAAATCTTAAAATACAAGACCAGAGCTTTTGGGGTTTGTAAACAGCAGATATGGCATTTCTTATTTGAATATACAATTCATTTTCATGTAACACTCGTATATGCCAAAAGCATGCAGCAGCAATAAGTATTAAGTTATTCCAAAAGAAGGCAGAATCTTTTCTTCTTTATCATTGCTACAATTCTTTTATTATAATTTACAGTATTGATGCAAATCTCCCTCCCCATAAAGGTAAACACAGTTTTATTATTTTTTTTAAATCTACTATGTTAATAGTAATAAAACATAATAGTTTATCTCAGTTTGTCTCATACAGCTCACAGCTACAAAATCTGGCAAGATCCTGTACAGGTGGTGCAAATGTGCATTGCGAAGGTTTTTTTTTTTTTTTTTTTTCTTTCCCCCCCCTCCTCTCCTGTTACATATATGTGGCAACACATTAGTTGCTGGTAAAACTGAAGTAATTATCAGTTGATGTTGGTCTGGAATAAACAATGTGCTATGTGAGAGTGTTGTAAAGAACTTAATTATAGATCAATAAATATTAATATGATTAAAACATGGCGTAGTCGTGTGGAATAGTATTACAACTAATTGCCAGGCAATCCCTTTGGTTGTTTTTCCTCTCAGTAGATGCAAGATAGAATATTGTTGCCCACCGAAAGGCCTAAGTTTCGATGGCAATGTGGCTGAAAACTGGCGCAGATTCAAACAGCTGTTCCAGATTTATAAGAAAGCTTCAGGAAATGCTTCACTTGAGAGGTTTGAAGCTTTCACGACACCTAGAACAAATGTTCTGGTGGAGAGATTTTTATTCAATAACAGAAAACAAGAAAAGGGGTAATTTTTTTATTGTTTCGTGACTGATCTGAAAAAACTTGTAAAATCTTGCGAATTTGGCGAGCAGAGTGACTCTGTCATACATGATCGCATTGTCCTTGGAGTATCAGATGACAGTTTACAGGAGAGGATGCTGTGAGAAAATAATCTGAGTTTGGAAAAAGCAATTGAATTAGGGAAAGCAGCTGAATTGAGCAAAGCTCGTGCTCAAACGTTAAGAGAACACAATGTTGACAGCGTAACTAGAGGGAAAGTGAAGCAACATCTGGCAGGAGGAGCCAATGCAGCCTTAGCAGTGAGGAAGCACAGAGGATGGCATGATGACTCTTCAAATACTGAGACATCTTTATGTAAAAAATGCAACAGACATCACGTTAATGGACAGTGTCCGGCATATGAAAAAAAAATGGTTTAATTGTGGCAAACTAAATCACTTTTCGACTATGTGCAGACTGAAGCACATCCAAAATTTTTCTCAGCATGATAATGCGGATGTATATAGGGAATCTGACAATGAATTCTTCATGAATTCCATAAATGTTCAAAAAACTAAAAGTGTGCTCAACATCGTCTACAAAAGAGTGGACTAAAACTATAATTGTTGAAGGGACAATTGTGACTTTTAAGTTGGACACAGGGTCTGAAGTGAATGTTCTGCCCGTGAAACTTACGAAACACTGAGTGCTAAGAACTCTAATCTTATTTTAAACAAGTGTAATGTTGTATTAGAAGCATTTGGAGGGTCCAAGGTTAAACCTGATGGGTCTTTAATGTTACAATGTTCCTCAGACGGTGTGGATCATACTCTAGGGTTTTTAATTGTTTCTGGCAAGCATATACGTTCATTATTAGGAATTGATGCATGTGTTAAACTTGATTTAATTCAGTTTATAAATAAGGTTGGAATATCAATTAAAAGTAAGTTGGATCAGTATACAATTGTTTTACCTCCATCTAAAGATCAATTTATTATTAATAATTCAGAATTGTTTGAAGGTGTGGGAAAATTTAATGAATTGTGTAAAATCATGGTTGATGATCAGATAGCTCCTGTAGTGAGACCAACACGTAGAGTACCACTTAGTTTAAAACCTAAACTTAAATTAAAATTAAGCGAATTAGAGGGACAGGGCATTATTGCAAAAGTTGATCAACCTTTGAATTGGGTTAGCAATCTAGTAATAATTGAATAAGCTAATGGATCCTTAAGAATATGCCTTGATCCTCAAGATCTTAACAAAGCTATAAAAAGAGAACATGTGTTGATTCCAACAATTGAGGAGATTTTACCAAAACTATATAATAAATCAATTTACTCTGTTTTGGACTTAAAGGATGGGTTTTTTCAAATAGCGTTAGATGGAAATAGTATGATCTTTGTACTTTTAGCACACCATTTGGATGCTATAAATTCTTAAGGCTTCCAATAGGTATTTCATGTGCACCTGAAATTTTTCAGAAACGCTATCTTGAAAACTTTGGTAATATACCAGGAGTATTGGTCTATTTTGGTGACATCCTCATTGCTGCTAGTACTATACAAGAACATGATAAAATTTTAACAGAGGTCATCAACAGAGCTAAAAAACTCAATATTAAATTCAACAAGCAAAAACTTCAATATAGGGTTAGTCAGGTTAAATATTTAGGTCATTTATTTAATGCATCAGGCATGCGACCTGATCTTGATCGAATTAAAGCCATTACCGAGTTACAGGAACCTCAGAATAAGCATGAATTACAGTGTGTTTTGAGAATGTGTAATTATTTGAGGAAATTTGTACCACATTTTTCAGAGAAAACAGCCATATTAAGGAAACTTTTGAAAAACAAAGTAGAATGAATGGCAGTGGTTACAGCTACATTCTAAAGCATTCAGGGAATTAAAAAAATTAATCTCCAATGCACCTGTGTTAGGAATATTTGATAGCAGTAAACCTATAACTATACAGGCAGACAGTTCTAAAGATAGGTTAGGCTGCTGCTTATTGCAGAATGGGCAACCAATTGCTTTTTCGTCTCGGAGTTTAAATAATGCAGAAAAAAACTATGCTCAGATTGAGAAAGAATTTCTTAGTATTTTATTTGCTGTTAATAAATTTCACTATTACATTTATGGTAGAAAGGTAGAAGTGCTTACTGATCAAAAACCATTAGTTTCAATTATGAAAAAAATATTGCTAATGTGTTGTCAAATAGATTGCAAAGGATAAAAATTAAGCTCTTAAAATATAACTTAAAACTTAAATATTTGCCTGGGAAATATATGTATATTGCAGATTTACTGTCATGTTCCTTTATTGATACACACACAAATGAAAACATGAATATGACAGAGATTGTTCATATACTAACAAAACAACTACAAATGTCCGAGAGTAAGAAAAGGGAATTTCAGAAAGCTACATTAGAAGATGAAGAGTTAATGTTAGTGAAAGAATATTGGCAAAATGGATGGCCTTTGAGTGTTGAAAAAGTTCCTAAAGAAGCAAGATCTTATTTTTAATTTAAAAATGAGATGAGTGTTGAACAAGATTTAGGTTTTTTATTATTATTATCATTATTATTATTATTATTTTATTTTTAATAATCGAATTGTAGTACCTGTTGTATTAAGAAAGTGTATGTTAACATTATTGCATGAAGCTCCCAGTGGGATTAAAAAATCAAAAGCTAAGGCTCAACAAGTACTATTTTGGCCAGGAATCAACAGTGACATTGAGAATATGATTTCTAAATGCCTAATTTGTGATAGGTTCAGGCCTCAAACAGTAAAAGAACCTCTTGTTTCTCATGAAATTCCTAGTTTACTTTATGAAAAGGTTGGTGCTGATATCTGTGAGTATGCGGGGAAAAGTTATCTAGTAATAGGCTGTTACTTAACTAAATGGGTAGACATATTTCCTCTAAAAAATAAAAGTGCAGTGGAAGTTACTAGTAAATTGAAATCGAATATTTGCAACACATGGAATACCCAAAACTTTAATTTGTGATAATGTACCATTTAATAGTTGGAAAATGAAGAGTTTCGCAAGGGATTGGGGATTTGAAATAATCACTAGCAGTCCTCGATATCCTAAATCTAATGGATTTGCAGAAAAGTTGTTAGGTAGATAGCTAAGAGTTTATTTAGAAAAGTAGGATTAGAGAAATTAAATGAGGCTTTACTGGAATATAGAAATACTCCAATTTCAGATATAAATTTATCACCAAGTCAAATGCTATTAAGTAGGAATTTAAGAACACGATTACCAATTACACAAACAGAATTGAAACCAACTGTAAAAGATCAATATAGAGAAAAAGGTAAGGAGTAAGCAGAAACAGGCTAAAATCTATTATGATAAGCATGCAAGGGAAAGACCTGAATTTATTCCTGGGGAAAAGGTAATGTTGAGATGGGAAAATAAATGGGAGCCTGCTATAGTTTTAAAAAAGCATTCAACTCCTAGATCATATTGAATTAGAAAAAAAGATAAAAGGGTAATTAGACGGAATAAATTCCATTTAAGAAAAACTAAAAATCAGAATTTAGTGACATTAGACTATTATGATCTACGTAATGAGAATGAGGAAAATATAAGTAGTGAACATCCAAAAATACATAATGATCCTTAATATCAAAATAATAGCAATAATATTAATCGTGATTGTGTATATAAAACAAGAAGTGGTTGTAATGTATATCGACCATCCAAATATGATAATTATGTAATGCATTGATTCCTATGAGTTTCCCAAAAGAAAGGAGATGTTACATATATGTGGCAACACACTAGTTGCTGGTAAAACTGAAATGAAGTAATTGTCAGTTGATGTTGGTCTGGAATAAACAATGTGCTATGTGAGAGTGTTGTAATGAACTTAATTATAGATCAATAAATATTAATATGATTAAAACATCCCCAAGATTCAATTTATATTCGTTTTTTAATTTTCATAATGATTTTTGGTAATTTCTTAAATATATATTCATTTTATGAACAAACTAATAATCTTAGTGTTTCACTGTTTGTACCATCAGCGAAAGCAGGGGAGATCTTTTCAATGGAGTTTATTCCAAACCGATACAAACATTTATTATTTTTTGGCAATTTTCCAAAACTTTGTTTTTAACAAAACATATACATTTTAAAATTTTAACATCCAAAAATATATCAGTTAAAAAAATTCTGATATTTTATCAGATTACAAACTTAACTCTCTCAATGTCTATAACAATGATTAAAGAAAATCAATTAGCTCATTTTCTGAATTTTTTCCCTAATATAACACAGTTATTTCACCACAAACAAATTTCAATTGAAAGAAGTGCTGAGAGTCTCCTATCACACAAGAATGGATTTCTTTCAAAATAATGGAAGAAACAGGGGAAGAAAAGGGGCAGAAATTGAACGATGATGCATTTGTAAGGTTTCTAAAGAGTACAAAATTTACTAATAACAGCTTATTTATTTGAAAATAAATGTTTTGCTATTTCTGTAACATAATGCAAATTTATTAAATAAAAAAATTCCAGTGATAATTGTGGTAGAATTGTTATTTGTTTACTTATGATTAAAGGAAAGAGATTAAGTTCTGTAATAGTAAAAGCAGAAAGTAATTGAATAATGAGTGACCTATTACTTTTTGTGATCTTTTTTTAAAACAGAATATGTTAAACACCCTCAAAAGAAGATGTTTTGGGGTTGTTCTGATTGCAGTGGGGTTGGTTCTTTTCAACCTGTTGATGGTATGGTGCTTTCTAAACAATATATTAACTATTATGGATAAAACGGTTGTTCCAGAGTTGAAGAAATGATACCCTGATGGAACAGGGATTTTTCAGCAGGATTTAGCCCTGTGCCATACATCCAAAATGGTCAAGAAATTCATTTCTGAGAACCAAATTGACACAATGGAATGACCTGGGAACTCTCCTGATATCAACCCAATGGAGAATCTCTGGGCTATATGCAAGAAACGCCTGTTCAACTATGGAGAAGCTAATCATGGCACTAATTCATGTGTGGTACAAGGACATAAATGTTATAAATGATAGTAAAAAATTGGTGAAATCTTAACTGAATTGTGTCTAAATGTTAGTAAAGAGTCGTGATAAATTTGAAGCATAAAAACAATCGCCAAAATATTTGCATTACAGTTAAGTTGAAGGAAAATCCACGGGAAAAAATAACATAGCAGATATTTGCAACATTAGAAATTTGTAATGTAAATTAAACAACTTGCCAAAGAAGAAATCAGGGGAAAAAATCGTTAGCGAATTAAGATTAACATGGAGGAATAAAACTGCGAATATCATATAAAATGTCTAAAATCATTTGCGTTTTAGGATGCTGCCGCCGTCACATAAACTCAATTAAATACCAATCTAGTTGTTACAGTCAATGTCATGTAGATGTTTATTTCAATATTTCACACAGCCCCATAACCTTTCAATAGTTTCCATACGACAACAATAATGGGATATATAAAATTATGATTAATGCAGAAATGTGCAAATCCTGTCTATTATCTCTTCTCTATAATCTCCGGTGTTATAACTTTTCCAACAGTCTGAATATATGATTACCAACATCAATAATATTTTGTTCAGTACCTTTAAGCAAATTATGGCTAAGCAGTTTGGCACAGCAACTAAAAACTTCCTTTTGTTTTCACAGCAAATCCTGCTGCACACCCAATGGGGCAGAAGGATATGACCAACATTGTTTTTTCAATGCAAAAGCAGACTCCTATCAACTTCGACAATATTATCAGTGCCACCCTTTTAACTGTTCGACAAGACATTAATGTGTAGCCACAGACTTTCTTTATATAACTATTACATTCAACAATAGTGCAATGATTCATACTAAGTTGATGTGTAGCCACAGACTTTCTTTATATAACTATTACAGTCACCAATAGTGCAATGATTCATACTAAGTTGATACTGACAAAATTCAATGTAAGCTAATTCTAAACACCATGTATAAATGAAACGAGCTGTCGTTAGAAAACTGATTCTTGATCCTCCAAACCAATTCTGAGAAGGTAAAACTTTTTTTTTCCTCAACATATATTATCTTCACATCTCCATTACGGTACTTCCTTCACACTGAAGTAGAGCTTTATGGCTTTTCATGCACTTTCTTTATGAGTGAATAATTTTTCGTTCCTGAAGAAATTGTGAGGAAAATATTTCATAATTATGTAAGGTTAAAAATATAGAGTGAAATCTGTCAGATATTTAAACGCTCTCAAAAACAAAGTAATTACTGATTCTTTTAAGAAGTAAATGCAAACAATACTCATGAAAATTGATAACTTGGATAGTCCATGTTTTTTAGTTATCCGCGACCTGCTTCCCCAGCATTAGCCTTAATAATTAAAAGTACACTGTATTTATTTACTACCCATATTTTTTATGACTATAATCCATAAATTCTGATTCAATGATATGTATTGATAGGCAAATAATTCAAAGCAAAATATTTTTAAGAATAGCATTTTTTAAATGTAACTTCTAATAACATTTTGAAGCTAATATTTAAGATATGCATCAAATTTTCCTCTATATTTAATCAGATAATCAATAGATAGAAGTCACCAATATGGCATTCAAAAATACTTAAATAAATATGAGCTCAAGTTTTCAAATTATCTTACGAATAAATTCATTTAAACTAGTATCAGTCTAACTGTCAAAAATCTCTATTGAAGTTTAAAACACCACTAAAATTGCCACCTTTTATGAGTTTTTGCCCACTCATTTTCACTTCGATGAGAATCTAAGTCGTACTGCATAGTTCCTTGGTGTTATTGTGCCATTTTCCTTCAATCTTTTGATTATCACACCAGTATAAATCCTGAAGCTCAATGTTCTGCTGAAGGCCAGTCACAAATTTTGATTCCCCCCCCCAAAAAAATGCAAGTGAAAAACAGCAATTAACTAATAATCTTTACAAAAACTAACACAGCTTAGTGAGGAGTACGATTCTCAAAGCAAAGATTTAGTAAGTAAACCCAAAGCAAGGATTTTACAACTGTGTTGTGATGTCACACTTATCTATATTTGATGCTAAATTGCCCTCTTTGTGATTAGTTGACAGAAAATTGCATAAGTACCTAAGATGTTTCTGGCTAATACAACATACTCAAAAAAAAAAAAAAAAAAAAAAAAAAAGCAACACTACTAGAACTTACTGGGGATCTCCTCCAGCATGATATGTCTTTAACCAAGTAATTAAAGCTGTTCGCCCACTATGATCGACTTGTTTTACCACTCCATATTCATATGGCCTTGAATCTGAAAATATAATATTCATAAAATATTTGCTGGCAATGAATTAATATTCATAAAATATTTGCTGGCAATGAATTAGTACTTCTTTTAATATTTGTCCATGTTGCCTTCCATTTATTCACTTAGATTAAAACTTTATATCTGAATTATAACTTTATATCTTATTAAAATTATTTTATATAAAAATCTACAACCACAAGAGTTAAATTACTACAAACACACCTACAGATATATTGATGACCTTATTACAATTAATAATTTTGGTAAAATTGAAAACTCCGACATTTATCCGAATTGTCTTAAACTTAATAAAACTAATAATTCACAAAATAGCATAGACTTTCTAGATCTTCAAATCATTAACTACAAAAAAATTTTACTTTTTGACAAAAACAAGAAACTTCAATTTCAATACTAACAAATTAATAAATTGGAACTCCAACATATCCAAAAAAGTAATTAACAATACTATAATTATCAAATACAACGAATTAAAAACTATATGCCACAGATACAATAGATTTACAACGCGAAAAATTTTGATCCTTATCAAAATTCTCAAAAATAATCTAATTCCCTTTCAATTATCAACCATTGCCTTAAAAGAGCAGGCGTTAAATACTCACTCTAAATCATTTAACCAGTATGGTTAAATGATTTAGAGTTTTAAAAGTGTGCATCCATACTTACCAGTATGGATGCACACTTTTAAAATAATTCTACTTTAATTAAACTTAGGAGATATATAATCAATTAATCATACTTGTTAGGAAATAAATTATTATTAACTAACTTTGCAGCAATTGCGCAAGTAATAATAACTTGTATTACACTAATGGATTTAAGTTCATACAACATTTATATATATATATATATATATATATCTATTTTATATATTTAAAACTTTATATTTTAAAATTTTACAAAACTACAGCTCTATTTTCAGAAGAACATATTTTATTTGTTTAAGTTTACATTTAACTGACATTATTCTTTACATTTCACTTCTTTAGATCCCTACCTTAGACAATTTTTATGTTTGTTGGAAATTCAAATGTTCAGTGGCTTAGCCTAACTTTTTAAGAGATCTATTCACATTACAATCTTATCACATTACAGTTTTTCCATTTCCATTACAAGCAATATATACCAGAAGCATGAACTTATATGTTATTCATAAAATTCTTCTTGCAAGTGTGCTTGTAATCCCATTTCAAAAATCATGAAAACTGTGCCAAAAAAACTGACAATTTCAAATAATATACAACATTAAATCTGATTGATACAAATGCATATACATGTATTTTCAAACAGTTTGAACCACAAAATAAAAAATATGATGTTTTCTTAATTTATTAAATGTTAATTTATTTTCCACTATATCACTTCATACAATAACTTAATTTTTAAGTTTCTCAGCATTAAAAAAAAAATAACTATTTCAAGTTTAGTTTCCTTTTCTGGGGCTGGAAACTGCTACAATTCTTCTTTGCTAACACCTGAAAGTTCAGTATGATCAGAAAATATTTTGATGTAAATAATGACTACTTAAAGAGTAAAGTATTAGATTACGGCTGAAGTGTGAGTACTAATAAATATTGGAGATGAACTGCAGGGAAAGAAATGGTTCACAGAATACAAAGAATTTTAGTAAGATATTCCAGTTATTCAGCAAATTATACCTAAAATCTTTACCAGCAGGGTCTTGAGAGAGATTTTCTAATCTAAAAAGTTCACATGTACTTTTGTTGTACTTTGGAAATAAATAATATTTCACAAACTTTGCATTATCTAGGATTTCAATGCTCAGATATGTTTTATATTCTATTACACCCACATAATTAAATGCACTTTCAAGCAAGCTAAAAGAGGTTTAATCAGTTTTGCCTATACTGGAAATCTCTGCTTTTCACTTCTTTTAGTCTGACTACATCAACAAAAACTTTTAAATATCTTTCTTTTTGTTTGTATGCATGTGTGTTCCTGCATAAGAAAGTTATTTATGGTTATATATTTATGACTTTAAATAGAACTATTTTCATTTTCAGAAATGACATTTTACAAATTATTTGCTAATTTTATTAACCCATGAAAACTGTTGTTTCACCATGCTGGAAGGATTTATAACATTAACTTTGATTGCAATTTTTTGTATATAATTAGCACATTCTGCATAAATCTCTTTCAAAATACATTTAAACTCCTTTCCTAATAGAATTAACCTTTCCAGAATTCCAAATAATTTTTGCAGTCTCTGCACCATTAAAAACTTATCAGAGACAGTAATCTCAAGGATTGTATTTTCATACAACGAGATGGCACTTATCATTTTAAACATGGTACATACAATTTCTCAAATCCAGAATTTCCGGATTTGAGAAAGTTTTGAAATTTGGGCATATCTATAGCACAATCACACCTGTCTACATTGTATGTGCAAAATCCATGCTTAGGATGACCATTCATCCTGGATTTTCTGGCCCAGTCCCAAATTCCACTTCTGCATCCCACATGGATATGCATCCTAGGAAACATCCTTGAATTAACGCTCATTCAAACTTTATATATATATATAACTTGTTTTTCCTTAAGTCAATCAATCAGATATTTAAATTTTCATTCACATTTTGGAGATATTAACAGAAATGTAACTAATAATATAGTTTTCTAATTGAATAATCAGTTAAACTGCCCAATAAGTGGAGTAAGCTGTGCAGCACATATGAGCTACAATGCAGTTCAAACTGCATTATATTTGCTTCTTGTAGATACTGAAGGAATAATTGGCAAAACTTATTCTTATTTTTATACATACACAGTTCGATTGGAAAATCTGAAGAAATTTTATGCTGACATATAGGTAGAATACAAACAATTACTAAGGATATTCAAAGCAAAATGGCTAGCTCTACTACCTGCAGTAGGAAGAGTATTACAATTGTTTTTAATCATTTAAAATTCTATTTTCGTGCAACTGATAAGTGTCCAATAGTTTTAAAAAATTTCTTTTTAAATGATAAGCTGAACTTTTGCTTCAAGTCCTCCAAACACAAGCACCTATTTCATAATTCAATAAAAAGAGAGAAAAGAAAAATTGTTGAAATTTTGGAAGAAATTAAGGATCTCATTTTTAAATTTAAAGAGAGAATCAATTCTATATTTGCACCAGAAAGTTTAAACATAATTTTAAACAATACAGTACAAAGTCTAAGATCCAGAATTCCGAATTTGGGAATTTTCCAGATATTACATCATCAGTTTAAATCTAATAAGATGGCATGTAGAAATTAAAAATATGAAATTGTGATTTATGAATTAATGAAGCATTTATTATCTAAATGGTGTCAAAATTTACCACAAAAGAAGGGGGCTTTATATTTATTTATTTACTTTATTAAGTATTTCTTTCAATGTAAGTTGTTTAAGTTGCTTTGTTTTTTGTGCTAATAATTTCTTTTTAATTCTGTAGACAGACATAATCTCTTGTTTACAAAGTTACATTGTTGAAGTCCTGTGAACTTGCTGTTTGTCAGAGAATTCCGACTAACTTTGTCAATCGAAAATTTCTTTTTTTTATTTTCAATAACCTCTCGGTCACTTTCTTCACTATCTGTAATGATATATATTTTCTGCATCTAGAACCATACTACAAATTTCACCGTTTGTTAACTGATTCATGATTGGGGCATTGTGATCGCAATAAAAAACCTCTGTTATATCATAGTCATTCCTTACCGCTTCTCCATATTTCTTTACAAAATCCATTAATTAGAAAATTTCACCTTTGGTTTTTGATATCCGAAAACCTTCAAATTTGTGGCTATCATTTTCATCATCCTCACAATGAAATATGGTAGCTGGCTATAAATTATGCCAAACATTTTTAAAAGTATCTGGAGACACATCCTCCTACCATGTTGCGATGCTCCATACAGTAGATTTTATGCTAAATTATTTCAAAAACTCTTGAACAGTCTTGCCATTATTCAAGAAATTTAACATAGATTTTAAAAATGCCACTTTATATTTGCATTTCAGTGCATGCACTATTACGATATCCACAGGCTGAAGATCCACAATTTGGAGACTAATACGGATACATTATCTTTCACTAAAATTTTAAGTAAAGCATGAGCTAAATAGTTGTCTATAATCAAGACAAGTTTTGCATCATCAGGTAAATGAACCGAATTCAAATGTGTTGCTGAGCTTCGAATATGAAATGATTTTAAACCACTCATTCATTAATGCTTGTGTCATTCTTGCTCTTTTATTTTCACAATATATAATGGGGAAATTCTTTGCTCCTTTAAATACTTGATCTCATGTATTTTTTCAATTACAAAATGTTTACACTTGTGCATTCCTGCAGCATTTACACATGCTAAAATTGTTAGTTTCGCTTTGGAATCTTTGACAACAGTTGGAACCTTTCCTGTAGAGGTTGCTAAGTTATTATATGGTACATATTCCTACAAAAGACCAGTTTCATCAGCATTGTAAATTTGTTCTGGAGATAACTTTTCACTATTAATGAGTTCAATGAATTCATCTACAAATAGTTACACAGCTCCAGAATAGGCTGAAGCTTTATCACTTTAAATTTTTAATTGCTTTATACCATGCTGATTTTTAAACTTGGTTAACTAACCTGTCAAATATGTGCACTCAGTTTTGAAGTTCATTTCTTCATGAAATATTTTGGCTTGAGCCTTTAGCACTGTATCCATCAATGGCATGCCCTTTCTGTGATGCTGTCTGACCCATTCAATCATTATTTTGTCATGATTGCCACTTCCAGCACAATGAATAATTTTTCAGTTATTCATTTGTGAGTGAGGTGTCAGAATCACAAAAAAATTTTAAAATTCCTTTTTCTGTTTACTTATGTCATATACAGTTGACTTTCCAATGCGATATTCCCTGTATACTTTTGAGACAGATATATCTTTATCCATTTTTGGTAGCAAGTCCACTTTTTGTTTAATGCACAACGAATCACG